AGTTAGAAGAAAAAGATGGTAAATCATATTCTAATATATCCTGGAAAAAGTGATTTATACATTTCTCCCATATAGAAATATCTCGAAACTCAGCTTTCTTAATATATTGTATTGTATTATTGCAATACAATGTCCCTTCAAAACTAATTATTTTTTTTTGAATAAATTAGAAATTCGAAACTTTGCTTCCTCATCTTTATTATAAACAGAAAGTGGAATAGTAATATTTTTTCCATTAGCTGATGCGGTAAACTCACCCTTTACTATAGGCTCCTAGCCTGCCCAATGCTACCATCTTGTACTAAGAATAAATAGTGATATATCCTTACCATTGCTATCTTTTTCTGTTGATAAAACAGAAAACTCATCAGAAACTGTTAAAGTATTATTTCCAATACCTATAGTAACAGGAATATCTGAAAAGGTTCCAATAGATTGTTTTTCTCCTACTGCCCTGTTAGTCTATAAACCTTTTTTCTGTCTATTTTAAGCCCAAAATATTTTATAAAATGGTTTGCGATATTTTCAGAAATATGCGACCCATCTGAACCTGTATCAAGTAAAGCATGGGGTATCTCTAAATTATATACTTTACATAAAATAGTGGCGTAATTGTTGGGTTCTTTTATTTGTAAAAAGTTTATTTTTAATGGATCAAGCCAATTTTGATATAATTGTGCCTCTTGATATTGTTTTATAGTATAATTTAGAGACTGTGCCTTCTCACAATAATTGCTTGAAGTCAAAGATACTGGCATATCTTTTCTGAGCATGCAATGAAAAATGGTTCTAGAATAAATTGATATTTTTTTGCTATATTTTCCCATGCTTTGTCTACTTCTTTATTTGAATAGTTTTTGGAATGATATGAATAAAATGAGTCTTTCATTTCAGGGAACAATTTACTAAGATCAGTATATATTTCAGTAAGAATTTCTTTAGGGTATTGTGAAATATATCTTGTTAATATGTGTTTAACAGATTCTAAAAATATCGGATTTTTATTAATAATTTTTTTTACTAGTTTTTGGTTTAGTAGAACTAGCTTTGCTATATCCTCCAGTGGCATTTAGGGTGCGGGAAAAAAGTCTGATCAATTTCAGAATTTTTAAAGGCTGTAAAAATAGTGTTCTACAATTAATACCTAGGCCGAAATTATGTATGCAATTAGTATAATAAATACACTTTTAGCAAATGGGCTCCATTTGTATCTCTTACACACATGCTTCCCATAATAAATCTTTAAAGTTGAATAGGTCGGGCCCAACGGGTCGGGCCCAGGCCTGACCCGTTTAACTTTAAAGACTTATTACTAGAAACATGTGTGTAAGAGATACAAATAGAACCCGTTTGCTAAAAGTGTATTTATCATACTAATTGTATACGTAATTTCGGTCTAGGTATTAATTGTAGAATACTATTTTTACAGCCTTTAAAAATTTTGAAATCGATCGGGCTTTTTTCCTGCAATCTAGTGGCATTCTTCTTTATAGAAACCCTCTTTTTTTTT